TAAACCTGTTAAATATTACAGCATTGCCTCTGTGAATTGACATTGTCCTCTTCCCAAGATGTGCTGTTCCTATTCTGAAGGGAAATGGCACTAATTAGCTGTACTATAAAAACGTGACATCTTAATTGACTGTAGTTACCTTCCTTTCACTACAGCTAGCTAATTACAGGATGTGAGTGCTTGAAAATGAAGTCTATATTAGTTATTGACAATGCACAAGTGTCCTGGTTACAAGTTTGGCTCGTATGCGCTGGCAAGGAATGTTTGTGAGTTTTGTTCTGGTTTCACCAAATGGCATCATAATGATGTCTATAATGCAACTATACCCTAATGCAATTTAAAATGTGATATGGTGTAGGGTCTGTTTGCACCATGTGGATAGACTCAAAGCAGTTTTAAGCAGCAGTAAACTACTTGCAGGACCGCAGCGTTCAGCATGAATTGATTTGCTCAGAATCTGTCAGTGGTTTTGCTTCTCAGCTCTCTGCTGATGGCACCCAGATTTTCTACCAGCATCCATGTCAACCTGGACATGTGTCTGGTAGCCTCAGCAGAGACTGCAAAGTACATTCAGATCAAAGATTTTAAGATGATTAAACTTAAGGAGTTCTGTTTGAGAGAAGGATTTTACTGCACAAGTTGCTCACACTTTATCATCAACTTCTGGTGCATCCAGCTAGAGCTGAGCGAGCTTGTATAATTAGTCCCAGGATCTGAAAATATAGTAGTGAAGTGATAAAAATATGATCACCTGTACGTCTTCCCTTTCCTGTATCTGCCACCCCAAAGAGCTCTCTTGAGTTTTAGACAGATCTGGACCAGCAGAGGAATACTTCCAAATGTAATGCTAAGGGTGTTTGAGTGGAAACAGAAGTCAGTCCCACAAAATAAGTCATGTAGCCAGCCAAATGCCTCGCAGTCTCTTTGCTGCCCTCTAAAACATTAGCTTTTGATCCCTGACCAGTTCCAAGCTGTGGTACCTTGGAAAGAAAATACCTGCCCAGCTCCTCTAAAGACTCTTACTTTGATTGCTTTGATCTATATACCTGCCAATCCCAACATTAGCCATCTTTTTGTTCCTCCTTGAACACTGGCGTTTGAAGGTCTGATTTGAGACCAGAAACAATTCCCTGTTTTATTCCCACAGCTACATTTCTGAATGCTTATCCTTTATTATACTTGTCTATGTATCGCCTCTCTTGAGAGGGCAGCACGAGGTATGTATTTAAGAACATATGTATGCCCCAGGAATAAGATAAATAGTTGGGAATAGATCATCTTTTCCCTACAGAAAAGGCCTAACAAGGAGATAGGAAACTTTTTATCCTACTACTTTGTACACATCGCTTTGATTATCAGCATAAGACTGGCAGAGCTTTTGGCATTCCAGCCAAAGCTTAAAATGTGGATTCTAACCTGGGCTATCTGAGCCTGTAGCAAAACCCTAGAGTACAGGCAAGTATTGCAGTTGTATCCCCCATCAGCTGGACAAGGTGAATGTTCCATCTGGGATGAAACTATAAGAGGAGCAGTGGGAATGGGACATGCAAGGAAATATTATCAATATTGGCCGATGTCTTCCCTTTTCAGCAAGTGGAATTGCTGAGATCTCAACAGCTGCACCTTCGTGCTTTTGCTGAATGCTGTGTACGCTTCGACCCCACTGTCACTTCACTATTAGCTGCAATATGGAGATGTGCAACTTGCTCAGCCTGACAGGCTGGAAAGCCATTTTGTCACAAGCTCTTCTTCCCCTTCAGTGCAGTTAAGATGACCTGGCTTGACCTTTTGACGCCTGTCAAGAACCTTGATGGTCACTTAATACATCAGTTTTCAGTGCATTTTCTGCTGAGTTGGAGGTACTCCAGCACAGGTCATTTTAAGTTACCTTAATACAGGCACTTTCTAGGTATAGGTTTTGCTTAAGAGCCTCTCTCTGTTCCTCCACGCACTCAGCACTCATTACTGAAGCACTATGCTCAGCAACATTGAAAAGCGGCCCAGGTAGCTGCACCAAAAACCAGGCTGACATGTCACACCCTTCCTTCACAACAAGGTCTTCCCCACATCTGCCAACACATCTCACTTCAGGATCTCTTTGCGCTCTAACATTTCCTCTGTTATTCATCAGACGACTTCTCTGTCCTCATGTTTTTAATTAGACAAACGCTCTTGTAGAAACCCCTAATGTCTACACTATCCAGTCCCTTGTTTTTCATGATTGCTTCCGTAGATAATTAGCAGATGATCCTTGTCCTGCAGACTTTATAATATCTCTCTTCCTGCTATCAGTGTTACTCTATGGTCATAGACCAGCACAGTACATTTTCCTTGTCTCAGAATCCTCCAATGTCTCTCCCATCTGACCCCTGCAAGAACCGAACTACATGAAGAGGTGCTTGGGGCATGCAACATTGCATAAACTTGGGCCAGAATTGCAAGGCTCTTCATGCTACCCTTCATTAAAACTTCTGTCTGGAGTCTGGACTACCCCAAAACTTGTATAAAAGGGAAGATAAACAGACTCCAGAGAGGAAGAAGAGGTGGGGAATAAATGTTTTTTATCTCAGACATTCACTGACTGGCAACATTTACTTTGGAGATCACATAAGCAAAATAGACTGTGAGAGCACAGAAATCATTAAGAGAAGTCGATGACTTTCAATTCTGTACTTAAAATTCAACCTTTTTGCTAATGTAGCAACAATACTTAATATATGAAATTGTAAGTTAGAGAGGCAGGTGATGGTGGGCATCCATATGTCTTCTGGTAAAACCCCAGACAACTGTATATATTTTTGAGTGAGTAACTTAGAGCATGTCCTGTAGCACCACCTAGCAGGCTAATTTAAAAGCGGTCTGTGTCCCTTGTTCCCTGACTAACAATGTGCTTATATAAGCAATGTAATTAGCGTGCATTTCAGTCTTTTTTCACCTTCCTTGCTGTAACAGCTGCTCCTCGAAACCAGAATCATACCAATGTGGTGATTAGAAGACTTGGGGTCTCTACTTTTCTCAATCATACTTGTTATAAAGCTCTTATCAGAAAAACATAGAGCAAATGCAGTGCTCTGCCAGCCTCTTGAGTTTTTCCATAAAAAAAGATTAGTTTCTAGACATCTCCAGCTGGTACTGAAGGCAGAAGCACCTTTGAGAAAGTCAGGCTGCACAAACCCATCCAACCCTCCTTCCGTGCTCACCAGGAGGATAAGTAAATCTTAAGTCGCCCTCCGACTTTCAAAATCCATCATGACACTGTGTGTTTCAGACTCCAGTTGTCTACCCTCACCTGCATGCACTTCTTCTTTGTATGTCTGTATGAAGTATGACTATCTATGCCACCTTACAAATGTTAAGTTTTGGCAGATGACAAAGCTGCAAGGCTGCAGACCCATGGCTGTAACAGCTTTCCATGGATATTAAGGGGGAAGTGAAGCTCTCCCCTCCTTTTTTCCTGGCTGCCTCCAACCTTGTTACATTCCTGGCACTTTTCAGACTCTTCAACGATCCCATTCAGCTTGCAAACTTGATAGAAAATGACCCCTTTTGTCCCTGTTACTATGTTTTCTGCTGATGAGTTAAAAGCAGTGCACGAAAAGGGTCTGATGGATGCCAGATCAGGTAAAAAGAGGCTCAGAGGGAGAGAGAGGTGGGCAAGGTGGGATCTTTGCTCTGCCTTCTCCCTATGGGTGGCAGCAAATCATTTATCTGCCTTGCCATATTGCATAAAACTGTAACCTAAGGGTAGAATCGTGGCCTCTCCTGAAGGAGTGTGTTTTCTTAGCAATTATCAACTTGTTTATTGGAAGCTAAAACCAAGGCTGTCATTAACAGCCTCTGCTCACAAGAAGGGATGCTGGCTGTGCCTAACCAGGCCTGTTCAGCACTAGCATTCCTAGCGTGTGGGATATCATCTAGTAAGGCCTGGAGGAAAACCTGAATTTGAATGAAAACCCCCAAATAGCCAGTTTACCATCTTAATCCCTTTATGTGAAAGCAGATCTCGGGCCAAAAGGTTGGATCTGAACCTTTACTAAGAGATGCCTCAATCAGGGGTTGCTACAAAGAAAGATCTGTTGAAATTAATCGAAGTAGATAATAACCATGGCTTGCTTTTATTTCTTTTCTGCTCTCAACCCACTACAAAGCGTTATTTCCACTTGGATTATGAAAAAAATGTTTACCTCATGACTGCCTGGTGCAAAGGAACATTTTTAAAAGAGCCGTCGAGCACCAGTGCGTACCTCTCCTACAAATGAGGCAAACCCCAATGTTCTACTGTCCCCTACCCAAATAAAATCCCAAGCTGCTCCCTGCCCTTGTTTCACAAGGACGGCACAAGCCAGGGGCCAGCCTGGGCGAAAGGAGTGTTGCCCCGGGAGGCCATTGCCCGCCGCAGGCTGTTGCTCCCCTCACCCACTGCCCGTCTCGCCACAGCCCCGCGGCGCTGCCAACAAACGGGCAGGCCTCGCCAGAGCTTCCCCAGGGCCTCCGTGTCGGTATTTTTTCCCATCAGGAACGGGATCTCCCCCCTCGCCCACCCCAAGGGAGATTTCTGCCGCCGATTTACTCCAGGTCTCGGATCGCAATCCCCCGTCCCCGCTGAAGGGGCAACCTCCCCTCTCCGCCCCGCCATGGCGCCGCCGCCCGCCCCTTCCGCCCGCCGCAGGGCAGCGGGGAGGCGGCCGGCCCACCGGAGCCCCGCCTGGGCCGCGGAGCGGGCAGCCTCGGTAGGTGCGGGAGCCGAGCGGGGCGGGGGGAGGCCCGGCCAGGCTTGCTGTGAGGCGAGGAACCCCCTGGAGCCGTCCCTCAGCGCTCCCAGCAATGGCGGGGAGGGGAGGGAAGAGGAGGGAAAAGGCGGGCCGGGGAGCGCTGGGCCCGGGGAGGCCTCGCCCGCCCCTCGCCTGAAGGCGCTTTCAGCCTCCCCTCCCCCTTCTATATTTTTATTTTTGGGCAAGTGAGCCTTGAAATCCTGAGCCCTGGAAGCGGGTCCAGCCCTCCCCCCTTTCCTGATTGATAGTGGTTTAACTTGGGCTTTTCCCTCAGCTAGATGTAATTAGAAAAATTAAATTTATTCCAGTGTTAGGACAAAATCTGCCGGGATAACCCCGTTTTGAACTTTAGCTGTTAAGATCCTTAGACGTCAGTGAGGATGAGCGCCCATAACGCCATAGAGACAAATTATGTTTCAGCATTTGGGAGAGACTAACCTTAACAAACGTTGCTGTGGCTTTAAGGGAACTAAGTAAATGATTAATTTTTCAGGATATGGTCTGTATAAATTGCCTTGAAGTTTCCGGTTGCCTGCCTTCTACATAAATCGCACAAAGTTTATGAATAAAAATAAAGATGCCTCATGCGGTTGGGGCTGCAGTGGGATTTTCTGCAGGAGCCGAGAGTCCGCGCTGACCCCCCCGAGGAAGATTTGAAAGCACGAATGCTGAAAGGGATTGGGGGCAAGTTTCCTTTTATTTTTGTGAGACGATTGACTATTACGGGAAAGTGAATATTCTGTGGCGTTTCTTGCTTCTCCTTGCCTTAGGCATGTGGGGGGGCTGGTGGGTGTCATCCAGTCAAGAGCACAGCCTGGGTTGCGAGGGCTCCGTCCACAAAGGTTTGAAACCATGCCTACACAGAGGATAATTTAATGGGAAAAAAAATTAAAAATATTTAGCTACCGTTACAATTTTTATGACTGAAGCTGCCCAAAAGTTAGTGTTAATTCATTGGGGTGTATCCTGCCATTATGGCTGTTGAGAAGTGTGTATGTAAGCACTGCCCTGCTTTCCTGTGGGTTGCCTGTGGTTGTGTCCAGGTGTGCTTCCCGGCATCCCAAGTCACTGACTGGGGGAGTATTCAGCATCCCCTGTGCTCGGCCAAGCACCATTTGGTCACGCAAGCAAGGAGAGCAGACTGGTTTTCAGCCTGGTCTGTCCTTCCCCACACTGGTGTGGTTTCTCCTTCCAGTGTTCCTAATCTTAAAAAGATCTGTTAGCCAGCCCAAATGAGAGGGCTCTCTCCAGCACAAGCGGGAGAAACTTGGGAATTCCTTGGCTCAGCTTCATGCGTGGATCAAGTGATATTCTTCACGCAGTCATCCCCTTAGAAGAGCCCCCCATCCCATAAATGGCATGACCTTTACAAACAGATCTAGACTACCAGATTTGCTGAGACGTTAACTCCAAAGAGGTAATTTGGGTTTAGTATTACCATTTTCTGGTTTTTAGCTCTACTATCAAGGAGGTTTTCTCCTGAAATTGGGTTTCATCCAAGCTCTTGGCTCTTTACCGTGTTTTTCTTAAATAATTTTGTCAGACAAATCACCACCTCCGGTCTTCAGCAGAATGTAAGAATACCACCACTTATTACACTGAGAAATGCATATTAAATCATTGTATACTTACATGCATCATTGTTTTTATTAAGCACTCAGTATGTGTTCAGTGCAGTATAAACATTAAACAAGATTGTTCTTCCCCTGGTGAATTTACAGCCTGAAAGTGCTTCATAGAAAGGCGTAGTAATAACATATCATTAAAACACCACCTTTAATTTGATCCCTTTTTGTTTCCTTGTGGTTAGTGCTCATTTGCTGTTGCTGATGACTGGTGTATCCTGGCATGTCATGCGGTGCTGTTTTATGGTGTTACAGCCCCCAGTTGTCCGCTCTGCCCCTCTGTGGGAGGTTCTTGTTCAGCCTGAGTGGAAGAGGAGAGCATATGTCCGTGTCTCAGCTGCTGCCGTACAAAGGCCAGCAGCATAGCTGAAGCCCACCTTTGATGGCACTCTATACTAGGACCTTGGTTGTTGTATCAAAGCGTGGTTTCCTTCTGCCACCTCGGCTTCCTGTAGGGACAGCTGGAAATACTAATGTCTTGAACAGCTGCAGCAAGATTCTGTGAAGCTCGTGTGTTAAAGCCCTGAAGGAAGAGACATTGCAAGATGCAAATGGAAACAGGGGCGTCCAATTTTCATTGATGTCTGTTGGATTTAGGTGCCTAATTCACTTTTATGTCTTCATAGTAGCATCATTTTAGGGGAGAACTATGTAGCCAGTGGGAATTTTTTTTAAGAGATTGAGCTTTCCTGGGCAGAGCACATCATATGGCTTGGACTGTAAAAGGAACTGATACTCCCCAAGGGAAGCAGGACTCTTGAACTAAAGGAGTTGGCAGGTTGGAAAGTTTTTGAGTTTATCTGCTTATTTAAAGAGTCACAACATAGTTATCTGCCCTGAAACAATTTCTGTTCCAGTTTCTGCTCTGGATTGCACGTATTATTTGTCAGAGAAATTTCTTCAGAGACAATTTTTTAAAAAGTAGCCACTGAAAGCATGCTGGTTTCTGAAAATAGCTTTATGCTGAGTAAGCTAGAATCAACAGTGGTTTTAATAGTGAGCTTGGCTATCCACTAGAAGAAATTCTAAAGGAAAAGTCTATCTTCTGAAATTTCCAAATCAAAATATGGTCCTATTTTGGAAGTTGCAATCAAGCTCAAGTTACAGATTTAGTATTGAGGTTACTGATTCAAATTTTTGGAGCTGTACGGTAGAGGAGGTTAGAATAGATTAATCTAATTATTGGCTCTTTCTGGCCTGAGTATCTGTAGTCTGTGTCTGCAGTGGAGTGCAACAGGATTGTGCTGGCGAGGACTAGACAAGTATGTTGGGTAAATACAGAATGTGTATTGATTGCTGGGGGAAGGAGGAAGCATGGTGGCTTTATTATTGTCTTTACTGCGGTAAATCGATTTACTGGAGGAGAGGGAGAAGTTAATTATTCTTTGTATTAATCATCATATGTTCCAAGGCCCCAAAATTAATGAGTATCACTGTGTCTTTGTAAATGTGTTTTGTTAATGGTAAAGAGAGAATGTTTCTTTGGTTATTGTGCTCTGCTTCTTCTCATTTTTTTGCCTTTTTTTTTTTTTTTAAATGCTACAGAAATGAGAGACCCATTTATGCCCACTTTAATTCCTGATTTTGTGTTATAAACAGGTTAGGATTTGACTATGGCAGTGCAGTTCCTGCGGAAGGCATCTGTGTGGGTAAAGAAGCACAAGATCACGTTGTTGGCCGTTTCTTGCGTGGGACTGTTTGGCGCTGACCTTTCCTATCACGTGTTTCCTGAGCAGACATTCAAACTGTTGCATGAGTGCTGGTCGGAGGGGCAGCCAGCTGAGCTCTCACAGAAGCTCTGTGGTGTCTTTCAGGATGTCCTTCAAGATATCGATGTGAAGTCCACTGACTCCTATCGAGCTTTTGCAGCTTCTGGCTTCCAGCCTGTGAGTGCTGGAATCCCCTGGCTGCCTGCGGGCTCTTTGGTGGGCATCCCGCCGAACTTTGATAGCACAGCGGAGGATAAAAAAGGAATAGTCAACCATGTTGTTGTGATCAATGGCAAGGAAGTAGACTGGGAGAGCAATGAAGGTGTTGCTTTGAAGGAAGCCCTGACGTTTTCACTTGAAGCTCAGAAGTTTGCCATTGCGAGGGAAGTTGTGTATTTGCAGAACGGCAGCCCTTTAGCAAGCGCTGTTGTGGCTCCAACTTGCTTAGCTGGTACATTTCTCTGTGGGAAGGGTGTAAAGCTACTTCTGGGTTTATCTCCTGGCCCCCTGATACTTCGTGGCCTCTGTAACCTCATAACTGCTGCCGGTGGACTCATGTGCTATTACGTTTCTTATGACGCCATGACTTACCACCTAGACTGCAAGGCTGACAGAAAGGCAGCTACTGTTTCCAAGGACTACGCCAGAGGTGGGGTTGAATTTTATGATCAAATCTTGTCCCGCAACAGGATTCTTCGTGGTCTGATGGGCAAACAAGGGACAAAAATGTATTCCCCGAGTGGCAACCTTTTCCCCAGGCACTGGTTCAGAATAAAGTATACCCCATACACTTACCGAAGAGATTTGATTGTTAATATTTTAAGAGAGCTCCAGGCATAGGAGGGGAGTGCTTGAATTTTAAACTTGTGAATTATGTATTCTCTTGGAACACTGCTGTGCTTCGTTTTTTTTTTCCTTTTTTTTTTTCCTAGATCTTCATTAGAATTGCGGGGTTTATTTTTGCATATAGTTCGGAAGGAGTTATTGCACATCCTGTGAATAAAGAATTCTCTCTTAAAATATTAAAGACTCGCTTCAAAAGTCCTCTGTTCTGTGTGCATCTCAAATCACAAGACCGCTGAGGAGGGGAACTTCTCAGACACTGATCTGGAAGTTCTGCTGCTTTGCTCTGAAATGGAAAGGGTAAAGTCCAAAGGAGAGTTTTGGGAGCAGTATCATTTAAACAGGGGTGTTTGTGTATATGTTTACCGTTCCTCCTATGGAACAACCCAAAGGTGTGTAAAAAAAACTGGGCATTCTGTGCCGTGCTGTTACATCAACACCAAGGCACAGTGTTTCTGTTCTGTGTAGGCTCTTGTGCCATGTGAATTCTTACGCTGCAATTGCCATTTTTCAGTAGGGCACACTAGTTACACTACATTTTATACTAATAGGGCTAGATTATTACCAGCACCTGCATCATTTTGCTTAAATCTGGTTCTGCTCTCTGCATAACATGGTGACTGCAGTGTGTGTATCTTGAATGTTTCCCAGCAGGGATGGTATGTAACATGACTGTTATGCACTGATTGTTTTCTCACAGGTGGGATGAGTGTGTTCAGGAGAGGGTTTTCTGTTTGCTTTGGTACAATTTTTGTTTAATTTAAAAATGCATGTAGGTGTATGTCACCTTTTATGTCAAAGGCGGCAAGGTGTAAGAACTAAGTGTGGCATTTGGTGCAGAAATTGGTGAGGTCTGTGATGAAGAGTTGCCAAAGGAGATTATTCTCCTGTTTCAGACTAGCCTAAGAAGGTTTTGTCTGGCAGAACAGAGCTTTGTCCAGGATTACTAATCTTCTGGAAAGGACTTTAGTGCATGGGCAGTAAACTTTCCACTACAGCCTCACCTTGAAGCTTTATGTGATCTCCAAGACAATAGTTCTCAGGCTTTGTAGTTCCCTCTTTTCTGTGTTTCTACTGCAGTTATTCTAGTAGCCCTCACTGGTGACATCACAGCAGTTTTCCTCTTCTCGTCTCTGTTGTCATTCTTTCATGAAACTTCTATTGTTTTGTATCTGTTCAGTCACAGATGTGCCAAGTGTCCTCTTTGCCCTGGTTTTTGTCCTTTCTTCATCTGCTACAATAATAACTGTCATGCCTGTGTTTGCTCAAGGCATTACTGAGTTCTGTTTTCCCTTCGAATCAAGTGGTGACATAAAGTTGATACACTGGCTGCTGAAGCACTGGTGTTGCTTTACGTTGCTGAAGCCATATATATAAGATGTTTGGATTTCTGCTGAAGTAATCTGTGTCATGTTTTTCTGGACCACCACCTATCTCTTGCAGTTGTCCTTGAAGTTTCAAGTCATGAGATGCCTCTTAGGTGCTTTCTGGTTGTAGGGCCTAAGGTTAATATTCTTGTGAAAGAACACCCTTTCACTCTTTGTGAAAGAGTTTGACAAAATCTCCTAGTCTGTGAAATAAAGGAGACTTTAACTTTAGGCAGGGGGCTTTCAAAGCTTCAGGCTGAATTTTATTTGACTTCTCTTCCAGATAAATACAATATAACAGGTCAAGATAGAGGATTTTTGGTTGAGTGATGTAGTGGCTCAAGATTGGAATATAACTCCTATTTTATACAGTCTGTTAGTTCAATTCGTCCTTGTATTACTCCTTCAGACAAGTCTAAACTCCATAGAAGGTTCTCAGATGGAACTTGGCCCACTTGTTCTATGTGGTTTAAGGAGCTGCTACTACATAAAGAGTGCAGAGAGGAAACAGAGGCCACCTTTGAGATTTACAACAAGTAGCAATTTAAGCAAAATTAAATTTAAGAAATCTGCTTGTCTCTTACCATTCCTTACTACTGCTTTTTGTCAAGACGCCTGCAGCTAGTGCTGTTATATAAGGTTCTCAGGTCGTAAAGCCCCAGTGATGCTAATGGGTTTTGCAGTTGTGCACTTTGCTTTACTCTTACAGCTGGATTCTCCAAGAAGCTCCACGTGTCTGTAAATGCTGTGTCTGATTTACCCTTCTTTGAACTTGCTGTGGCATATTGGCGTCAGTAAGGGAGGGCTGGCTAGTAGTAAGACAGATGTCCTTGCCTTCCAAAGAGGTGTTCTTGCCAAGGGCTTATGCACCTCTGTTTCTATATAGTCAAGCTCCTGTTCTGTCACCATCTGTGTAATCTGGAAGCATAGTACTGTCAATATAAGGGAAATGGGAATTGAAACCACAGCTGCTAATTAAGATTTCCCTGAACTTTGGGAATGTGTGGTTTGTCCTGGAAAAGGTTTGTATCATGTGTGTGTTGCCAGGTAATTGTTGCTTGCAAGATCAGCCATGCTATTTGGCAAGCAAGAATAGCACAACTCAAATATATGACCACAAAAATACTCGTGCAAGGTCTTATAATATTGCAGATGTTTTTCTGTAGGTGGAGCCTTCCATGAAATCAAATCGGAGTTCCACATTCTGGTGCTAGAAATGGTCTAGTTTTGAGAGTACGATAGAAGCAATTAAAGGTGAAAATGTTGGTTGATCATGCTCTCCCTGTGAAGAATGATCTGATGTGGAAAAGCAGGTTCATTCCGTGGCCCAGAAGAGCCCAAGTGAATGAGTTTGTAGGTAGCATCAGGGAACAGCCTTATATTCTCCCCCGACTCTGAAGCTGAAACTCTGAGGAGTTCAGAAAATTCGTTAACTGGCCTCTCTTGCACCGCTCAAATGAGGCAGACTGCACAATTTTTTGGGTAGAAAAGCAACAGAAAGTGTTAAGCAAAGGGAATTGCTAGGAAATGAGGATAGAAGAAGTCTAAGCCAAGAAACTGTAGAAGTGAAGGTGTGAATGAGATAAATGAGCTCTCATAAAAATGGATATTGTCTATAAAAATGAAGTTTTCTTTTCTGTCTGATAAAGTGATTAAAGGATGAAGTATGAGTAACAAATGACCAAAATGAATTGCTAGCTTAAATTTATACACAATCTAGTTTAAAGAGATATTTTCTTGACTGGTTTATTTATTTTATTATCCTGAATTGTCTAGATAACTGAAAAGAAAATGATCCTTGTAATTTAATTTTTATATAAATGTAATGCTGCTGCTACATAAAGCTTTAGTGGATAACACTGCGAGAGACAAGAGCCACCTCAGTGCTTTGCCCAGAATTCCCACTGGCATGCAAGAAAAGCAGGGTCTGGCTCGCATGTTTCTTTCCCTATCCTAAAAATTGTGGTGTCTTGGCATGGAGATGCCTTCAGCTTGTTTAACAGTCAAAACCATAAAACTATCAGAAATAGAGCAAGACTGAGAGCTAGACAGTTTTCTTGAAGACAAACAAACTGTAGAAGTCATCTGATTTGAAGTAATTTCTTAGTCTGCTGCTAATAGTTATCTGGCTCTTCTTGCAGTTTATGGGAAGAAGGAGCTTCAGAGGTGACTTCCCAGAGAGAAATCTCCACCCGGGGGTCATGTTAGTGAAGAATGTCCCCTGTGGTATTGCCACAAGGGCTTCAGTTGAAGTGTAGTGGTCCTTTAGAAAACAGCACTTTTTATCACAGATAGAGCACTGTTATCACCCCTTTTCACATTAAAACGGTTTCCAGAACCTGACAGAAGATGGTGAGAGAGCTGACTGTGGAGCCTGTTGCCCTGCAGGGTAAGCTGGTGGTGTTGGGAGAGGTGGTGCTGGAAGTCAAGCCTACTGCTCTTGTTTTGCCCTTGGCCATAGCAGCCGTGAAACAAGCGCTGAGACAAAGTGGGGCTTGGGTGGGAGTGAATTAAAATGTATGAACCAAATCATCGTGACTGAATCACAGGCAGCTTCCATGGAAGGAAGAGAGGTGGAGAATCCATCCCGGAGCGAGTACTGCTAGATGCAGCCATTGTGGGCATCATTAAAACAACTGTAGGCATCTCCACTATGTGGAAATGCAACTCCTAGCAAGCTGCAGACATGGAGACAAGTATGTGGGCCATATCCTGCAACTGTTACCCGCTCGTGTTCATTAAAAGCTTCATGTGGCAGGTGTGATTACGGGAATATAAAAATGATTAAGTTGCAGACAACCTGCCATCCGTGCACGCACCGGTTCCTCCTTGATTTCATTCATCTCAGCTGGAAGTGTATATAACTGAAAGGCAGAACCAGAGGAATGCTGATGTAGGAAGACATAATTAAGATGTCAGAATAAGGAGAACCTTGCCAGAAAGACAGAGAAGCTGAATTTGGTTGTTATCAAAACTAGATTTAAGAACAGAAAAGCAATGTAATTATTCTCTAGGAATTGGTATGTTAGACAAATTAAATCTGAAGGAGCTGAAAAATGGCTTATGGGTGTTTTGCTGGGCTTCTTTTTCACTGAGAATATATCAGTTTGTTTAGCTGAAGTGAGTGTATTCAAGCTGCTCAAACTGCTAAATCTGTAAAGTGGAGAAAATTACTAAAATTTGGCTAGAAATCAGTCTGTCTTTCCCATCTGGAAAATAAAGGATTTTTTTGGACAAGCCAAACTCTTAACTTTATAGCCAGAAATGAACACTGAAATGTCTCTGCAGTTGGGAGCTCTCACTCTCCTCAGTCAGACCAAGTTTGCCATGATGTGTCCTGGTCTCCAATCTTGAGAGAAGGAGTGCTCCTAAAAACTCATTTTATGTCCAAAAATGCTCTTCAGAAAACGCAGCCAGCCCAGGTGTATGTTTATTTCCCCCCTCAGTCTTTTTATACTCCTTACTGCAGGAACCATTTGTGGTACCATGTGCTGGTGCAGTACCTACTAGGATGTGACCTCTGCCTAATAGTGTAACAATGAGCTTCCCATATGTGGCAGTAATTAAGTGTATTGGTCCTAAGGTTTGAAAAAAGAATTGTCCCCCAAAAGTTCCTAGAAAACTTTTTTTTTTTTTTTTTTTTTTTTTTTTTAATGGCTGAACTTCCATCATCTGGAAGTTGGGCCCTTTTCCAATCCCAATCTGGTTACTCGGAGTCACTAGCCACTTTGGTCTGCAGGAGTGTTTCTGTGTTAATGTCATCACATCATAACAGCTTCTTTCAATATAAATTAATAACAGGTGAAGCTGTGTCCTC